TCTTAATAAAAATTTTGGAAAATATTTTGCGAAAGGTGATGAAAGTTGACTTTGACTGTTAAATACAGTTGGGACATAATCAGTGGAATTGATTACTTTTGTTTCTGTGTGTATGTGTGTAGGTGGCATTCAAGTATTAAATTTTACAATACAATTAAATTTATTCCATGTTGGGTAAAATTTAAATCCATCATTTGCCTAAAGATAATACCAGATAACATACATATGTACAAGTATATCAATTAGTTTTCTTACTACTTGACCTATCATTACAAGATTTTTGACCCCTTGAATGGCAGATTCAAATTATACCCATGTATAATTATAAATGTATAAACATGCATAATTAAAAAAGAATTGATCATGATATGTAGGCAAAGGAAAATTATCCGTTAGGTTTAAAATTATTTAACATCAAAACTAAAATTTTAGAAAAAAATTATGATGAATATAATTACTGTAAAATTCTTTATTTGCGCTTAAAATTAATTTTCGCTATATTCACTGAAGGAATGATTCAGTGAAAATAAAATCCAGCGAATATACTTTTTTTCCTATATTTTACATTAAATCGTCAAAAATCCGAAAATAAAAACCATACAAAACATCCAAAAGGTCTCGTCACTGAAAATTAATTCTAGCTAAAATAAAGTATTTCACAGTATTTGGACCTGTCTGGAATTATTTCTCAGTGTTTAACCTTTTGAGTACCATCTAACTTTTGTTTTCATTTATAAAGAAAAACATGCCTATTTTTGTCATATTTGTTCCAAATTTTGATTAGGACAAGTAGACTATGGGAAATCATGTCCATGTGATTCAAAATTAATAAAGAAATTATAGAAAAAAATTTTGATGTGAAAAATTATGGTGTTGGGTGGGTTAACATAAATTAAAAATGGATTGCCAAGTCAGCTGTGACAAATCTACGTACATGTCATTTGAACTCTGACATTCTGATGATAGATCAAATCGCTTGGTGGATAATACAAGGAAATATGTCCTATTTGATGTCATATCGGAATTGATTTTTATTTTGATGTTTTGATTTGATTTTATAAGGTATGAATGTCGTAGGACATGGTAGACAACCGGTTGGAATGATACCAGGGGGTGCAACACCATACATGCAACAGCCCAGACCAGGCATGATGCCAATGATGTCATCGCTACCACCGCAGCAACAAATGACGGGGTATAGTCCTCATATGATGCCAGCACAAATGCAGCCACAGGTAAACACAGTCCGGATTTATCTCGTATTACTTCACTCCATGTGACTTACATGTATCAGGAACCTGTTAGGTCATCAGTTTATTAACTGTAATCATCAGATATAGTACGGCTTGGGCATAAATTAACGTTTACCTGGCTTAAAGCTGGCTTAAAGCGAGCTTTGTTTGCTCTCAAAACCGCAGCCTACATATGCTATGCAGGTAATCAGTCTAAATATCTCTCATAGTAGTAAT